GGGGGGCGCGCGGGCGGCCGCGCTGGCGCTGCTGCTGGGGGCGCTTCACGGGGTGCCGGCGCGCGGCGAGGAGAACGACTACTACGGCTGGCAGGCCGAGCCGCTGCACGGGCGCTCGTACTCCAAGCCGCCGCAGTGCCTCGACATCCCCGCCGACCTGCCGCTCTGCCACACCGTGGGCTACAAGCGCATGCGGCTGCCCAACCTGCTGGAGCACGAGAGCCTGGCCGAGGTGAAGCAGCAGGCGAGCAGCTGGCTGCCGCTGCTGGCCAAGCGCTGCCACTCGGACACGCAGGTCTTCCTCTGCTCGCTCTTCGCGCCCGTCTGCCTCGACCGGCCCATCTACCCGTGCCGCTCGCTGTGCGAGGCCGTGCGCGCCGGCTGCGCGCCGCTCATGGAGGCCTACGGCTTCCCCTGGCCCGAGATGCTGCACTGCCACAAGTTCCCCCTGGACAACGACCTCTGCATCGCTGTGCAGTTCGGACACCTGCCTGCCACCGCGCCTCCAGGTAGCGCCGCCGCCGCCGCCACCCTTGCCCCCGCGCGCTCCGACAGCCCCGGGCGCCCGCGAGCTGGGCGCTTAGCCTCCCGGAGATGGCACCCCACCACACACACACACACACACACACACACACACACACACCGCCTTCGCTCAGCCCTGCGTACCCCGGGAACTGTCCCCCACAGCCTTCCAGCCTTCCCACCTCCCACACACTGCCAGACTAGTGCCTTCCCAGGCTCTGGACAAAGCTCGCGGGTTCTCCCCATTCCAGCTCCGTTCCTGAAGACGCCCCTGGGGTCCCTGGCAGCGCCCACCTTCCTAAACCTCCGGAATCCCTGGGTAGCCCCAATGCTGTCCCCCCATCCTGGGGCATCCCCATAAATGCCTTGTGGCCTAAGCCCAAGAATGCCCAGGGTCGCTGAACAATGCTCAAGCCCGTTCACCTCCTCCACAGCTCTGGACCCCAGGGCACCAAAACAAGCATCACTCCCATCCCGTGTTGGGACCTCGGGAGGGGAGAAGGGCTGAGGGAAGGGGTTTAGCGAAGACTGGGGTAAGCACACTCCTGGGCTATGGTTTCCACCCCCCAACACTCACACCCCCCATTTTCTGCACCTGGGAACCCCAAATTCTCCCACTCTCTTCCCCAATCCCCCAGGTTGGGAGGCCTTGGGGTAAAAGCTCAATGCAGGAAGAGCGAGCAGATTGCCAGCACCTGCCACTGACAAGGAGCCCTTGGGAGAGCTGCTGAACTTGGAGCTTTGGTTTTCCCCTAAGTAATATAGGAAGCCAGCTCAGGTTCCAGAAACCCGTGAGATCCTACGTGCCACCTCCCAACCGCCCCCAGTCCCATTACCCCTAATCTCTCCCTGGCCTCAGCCTCCCTTCCCTGTGCGCCCCATGGCCCGCTCCAAACGCCAAACTCCTTCCAAGCAGAGTAAGCCTGGGCTGGGCACCAGACCGGGGAATAAACAGCGGCATGAGCAGGAGAGCTGTGTCTGGGCAGTTTGTCAGGAGTCTAAGGAGCCCCCGATGCTGCAACTTCCCCAGGAGGCAGCACTGCTTTCCCCTTTTCTTGTCTGACCACCCTACCCACCCCCTCAGCTGTGGGTGGGCTCGCCTCACCCACACAGCCCTTGGTCCTGCACCCCCACGTCCCCTCCTGAGAGGGGTCCTGTGACTGGGTGTGGAGAGTGTGGAGAGAAGGGAAATACCCTGTGCTGGGGTCAGGAAGCAGGGGAGAGACAGCCAGCTCAAGCAGAGACAGTGCAGTCCCTAACAGGGATCCTGGCATGATTCCTTTTTCTGGTTTCCTTGGAACCCCAATATTAACAGCCTGTAAGGCAGGGAAATCCCAGGCTCAGAACCCCACCTGGCCCCGCCCGCACAGTCCTGCCCTCTTTGAAGCCCACCTTCCCCTGTGATGGGGCACCTACCTGGAGGCAGAGACAAGGGACAGAAGTCAGGTGCTGTGTGGTGGCCTGGGAACCAGAGGCAGCCCAAAGCATGTGTGTGGCCAATAAAACAAAATATTTCATATAAAAATTAAGAGTCGTGGCTTCCCTGGAAAAATCAGAAGTTCTGGCCACGCTAAGCTGCCCACCTTAGAGGGTGGTCCCCTCAGTTTACCACAGTCCCTGTCCTGGCAGTGTCACTTGTTCGCCACCTTCCTGGACCTGTGTTCCTAGAAAGCCCCTGCAGATTACCCCTACTGCCGCACTAGGCTGGGAGCCTCAAATCCTGAGTCCTACACTCACTTCTCAATAGTTTTGCAGGGTGGGTAGCCACAGTGGACCTCAATTTTCTTTTCTTGAATACTAATACTTCATAGTCTGAGGATTAAATGAAACAAAGTTTAGAAGACAGCCCACGTCACGGTTGCAGTTGCCAGGGCCATGGAGCAGTGGTGCCCACTGGGACAGTTTTGTCCCCATGCAACCTTATCTCTTTTGAACCTCACA